CTTCAGTGTGCTTTTTGACACTATCTGCACTGAAAAAAGTTTCACTTAGTTTCTATTAGGAACACACATACTATTTTTCCAATAGCAAAAATTGTATTTGTTATCTGAATATCAGATAGCATAAGAAATTCTCTATGAGAATTCATATTTTTTTTCATATAGATTTCATTGGACACATAACGTTCATTTCCATTGCCACATAATCACATGAAAGTTATGTGAAATCCACATGGATATTTTCCACTGGTTATGTGATTTATTATGAGTGTGGAGGTTCGGATTTTGACCCCACCCCCTTTCCTTCTCCCAGTTAGTGTCAAAAAGCACAGAGAAAGATACATTTATTCATACAAATAGGCCGCCATTACCGATCATGGAAAGCTGGATAGCACGAAACGAACTTAAAATATGTCAATAGAGCAAACTTCCTCTACCAGATGCTGCTACTGGTATGCCCAAATGATGCCGTGAGAAATTAGTTTAGTTTAGTTTTCTTTATTAACGAGACTTTCAGCCTTGGGCTGGTTCGTCTCGTACGCCGCACAATGGGGAAAAATGGACGGAAAAATACATATAATTGTGTATCACTGAAATTCGCTGGATCAAAAATATAGTTCTTATCATTTCTGTAGGTAAACAACTTGCGGGATCGAATGGAAATAGTTTCATCCTGGGGAGAATACAGGAAATTTGTGTTTTTTGCTTTTTCATCCTAAAAAAAAATTCCCTTGAGAATAAAAAAGCAAAAAACTCACACTTCCTGTATTCTCCCCAGGATGAAACCATTTTCATTCGATCCCGCAAGTTGTTTACCTACAAAAATGATATGAACCATATCTTTGTTTCAGCGAGTTTCGGAAATGCTACAAAATAAAATGTAGTTTTTCGTTCATTTTTCCCCATTGTGCGCCGTGAGAAATGAATCGCCTCCGTCAACTACCGAAAAACATGTATGTGTTCGTCTACGCCGACGCCATCCTCATCGTCACCACTGGACAAACGCCAGTACGTACAAGGATGAGAGGCCAAGCGGCAGTCTCCGCCGTCGCCAGGTGGCCCACTCAATAGGCTTTGAATTATCAGCATCTAAAAGCATCAGGTGCCATGTCTGCCTTTCTCGACACAGAATTAGCGGACCACCGATCAAAATCGATGACCAGTCCATACCGCTGAAGAAGACCGTCCGAGTTCTGGGAGTTCTCGTTGACCGATTCCTCAACTTTGAACAGTATTTCAGTACAGTCAAGAAAAATTGCCGCAGCCGAGTGAATCTCATCCGGACGATCTCCAGACAAAAGAGATCGAACAATCCGCTGCATCCGTTTTCACGTGGCGAGTGCAATTATTGACAGTCGCCTTCTATACGGATTGGAGATGAGCTGCATCGCAACGGATAAGCTTTTAGCTACGTTAGCACCAGGGAACAGACTCCTCCGCACGGCTGTCAACGAAGATCTCCCCCCTGTGGCCAGGGAGACAAATGCTGGCAAACACCATAACGAAAATCGAAAGCCGGAGACAATTCCGTGGTCATGAAAAGGACTGTAGCTGAAATTTTAGGAGAAAAATACCCCATGTACACTCACCGATACACGAACGGATCTCGCTCTCGGGCCGGGGTCGGTATCGGTCTAGCCGGAAACATCACACCAACCAGCTTCAGCTTACCGCCGCACTGTTCTGTCTTCTCTGCTGCCATCTTTATCGCTGCTACAACGCCCTCGGACCGACTGATCCTGGTTCTCACGGATTCACACAGCGTCATACAAGCCCTGACATCCGAGACCCCGACTCATCCCTGGGTACAGACGACGATGAAGTCCGCGCCACCAACAACGGTATTCTGCTGGGTTCCGGGGCACTGCGGAATACCAGGCAACTCTGAAACTGACTTTCTGGCTGGTGCAGGACCATCTACCCCTCTCTATACCAACGAAGTACCGTTACACGATGTCAAGCGCTGGATCGTGAGCAAAGTACGGGAAGCTTGGGATGCAGAGTGGGCCCAAAACCGCTTCCTATTCATCAGACGGATCAAAGGGACGACGAGGAAATGGACAGAACAGTTGAACCAGCAGCGAGGTCAGAAGATAGCGTCGCGTTTGAGGACCGGTCACACCAATACTCAAACTAAGCTCTCAAAATTTCCCAATCAAACCGTGAAGTTCTAAGAAGTATGCTGAATTTCTACAACACTCCCTGAGTTTCTGCGAAAGTTCAGAGCTTCTATAATTTTTTGCTGAACTCATACAAAGTTCCTTGAATTAGCCATACCATCCAGCATGTACTACAGGGTTTCCAATCAAATCCAATTTCCCAATTCCCGGTTTTTTTTCCCGGTTATTTAAAAAAACAACCAACACCGCTACCTTAAACTAAAAATTGCTCTACAATACGTCAATTTTGCAGAAAAATTTAAGATAAGATTTGCATTAATATGTTGTTGATCTAGATCTCCAAAATCACGTGGAAGCATGAATTCGTATAAAATCAAAGGGTCTCCTGCAAAAATTTAGCCTAAATGTTGTTTTGGTATGTTGAAAAAAGCATAAATCAATACGCAGTATCAAAAATTCTTAAAATCTGAAGTTACCAAAGATGTATTACCAAAATATTTAGATTGTATTGGAAATATTTTACAGGTTTATACATATCTTGTTCGATTTCCATTTTTGAGCATTTTGAGTCTCCGTTTGAAATATAATTTATGATTATCAATACGATGATTCGACTTGATGATAGAATGGGTAAACCTTGAGAAAGCCCCATATTATAATTGCTCAAGTAACAATCATGGTTTTGAAGAGGCCTTATAGGCTTAAAATGGACTTAAAGACCACATTGAAATCAAAAATGTTGCTTGTGTGGTTTGGAATATTAGGTTTTACAAAATTCCTGGAGTTCAGATCTTTATTCTTTTTATAAAATTTATATATTATATCATTATATATTATACTATTATATATCATACTATATATAATAGTAACTTTAACGCTCATGGATCATTCGTGACTTATCCCGGTTAGATTTAAATTCATGATAATGATGATTACCCCTAGGTTTGAGCTGGATGATTTATTTCTAAGATAATCAAGTACATTGACTTCAGCGTGAGAGGTATGAATTCAGATCTTTTTATTTTACAGGCTAACCAAGGTATTCTACGATATCTTGACTAATCTTGTGTACCTGATTAGCACAAAGTGCAGAAATTATTTTTAATTTATCTCTGGACCAATCATCTCATGATTTTTTTTAAGTTCGTTGATTGTGTACGGTGTCGAACATTTGCAGGTCAAGCATGATCGGGTATGCAAGGAGTTTGAGATCGGACTTTTTTTTTTAAATTGGCATGCTCTATCTTCAAGTAGCTTCGTGACTAGGTATGTCTCGGTTAGGCTCTATATAACACTACTTTACTCGGAGAACTGTAGCAAAATAATTCAAAAAATGTTCGTCCAATGACAACCAAAAGAAAAAAAATCCCTGTAAGCTATCTTGGAACAAAGGGAACACCAGCGATATTCTTCCTCTCTAGTATATTAGCTCTATTTACCATCCAGATGCATAATAAATCAACTATTGCATACTTCACGGCGTAAATCGAGCAATTCAAGACCAACAATTGAAATGGCCTTAACTCCATTTTGTAAACAAACCTTGTAAGGCTATTTTCTCGCGAACCGAAGTTCGCAAAGGCAAACCAACATAATGAACAGGTAGGAGAAATTCCCCTCTACTCGATTGTGGTTTAGGTTTGCGAATGAAGGTTTCGGTTCGCGAGAAAATGGCCTTACAAGGTTTGTTTACAAAATGGAGTTAAGGCCATTTCAATTGTTGGTCTTCGTCGTGAAGTATGCAATACTTGATTTTATGATGCATCTGGATGGTATCCCGAGCAAAATCTGAGATCAAATTGAAATCTAAATTTGATGTTGTGATTTCGCTGATAATGATTGCTCAGGTTGCTGTCGTTTTGGTCGTTTTAACGGTTAAAATATCAAAATTAAGAGCAAAAAAATCTTCCTGTGACATCAGATTGTAAACTATTTCTGCTATCAATTAGAGCAAACTGAAAAATCAATTTGATATCAATTTTTCCTGTTGATAACAAAACAGGTATTCAATTTGATGTTATGCTAAGGCAATGAAATCAAACCCGCAACAACATATTTTTGAAGAGCACATGTACAGCAAAATGAAAACAAAATTTATCAATTGCATAAACTGAAATCAAATTAGGATTTCAGTGTGATGTTGATATCAAAACTTGATTTCAATATGCTTTCATTTTGATGCTAGACTTTGCTCGGGATGGTACTGGATGGTTTCCTGTACTATAGGAATTAGAACATGCTGGATGGTATGGCACTGGATAACTTCATTGACATACTTAAAACGCGTCTTTCTCGGCTTGCCGATTTGTGCTATGGGACGGACTTGCCATGAGTGATAGTACTGTCACCGATAAACCGACATGACACTTAATTCTGACTTGCCAGATGTCAGTAGTGTGCTTTGGTCAGAAATTTTATTGTTTTTGCTATGGTCGTTCATGTCGGTTTGTCGGTGGTACTGTTTTGGAGACCGTTGAATCTATGATCTCACTAGATCAACAGGGTGTTCTGTTTTAAACGTACAGGTAAACCTCGATTATACCACATCCTCAATTTTACATGTTTAAAGCTGTTCCGAAAAATTGCTCAAAACAAAATCACGAATTTGACCAATTTACAACAACTGACAATCGACCGCAAGACCTAACTCACTTCATTTTGATCTTTGTTTTGATGGTGTAATTTTTAGTACCTTCCTCGTTTTACAAAGCAGATATAGCTGACTGTATCTGTGACAAATATCAACCGATATAATTTGCACCGCTTGTAGCGCAACTTTCCCACGTATGCTTTTCTTCAACACCTCCACCCCATGATTACCGATCTGTATTTAACACTAATCAATTCTCTCTCCGCGAACTTCTTCTACCCAACCCTTTACAGGATATGACACACTGCCGATAGATTCGATGCAGGGTTTGGAGATCGGAGGAAGCGGTAACGCTGGCCAAGCTGGTGGCAATCCCACCGGGGGAAACAACGCAGGTGCCGGTGGGCCTCCATCCGGCCAGCCTACTTCGCCGTATGCGATGGACATGGACGTCGGTGAGATGGATGCCAGCGAACTCACGTTCGACCATCTGGATGTGATGCCATCGCCACCGCAGGATAACAACCAGGTTGCCGCCTGGTACGATACCGATTTGTAAACCGGAGCATTTCGGGTTCGGATTCTTTTGCATCGTTTTGCGTAGCGTATTATTTTTTTTTCCTCTTATCACACACATTTTATTTGATACACGATGTGCTTCCAACACATATTGAGAAGATTTCTCATCGAGAGTGCAGCTTCTAACACGCGTGTTTGACTCGTTTTATCTCTTACATTTATTGTGATACAAAATATACGATTCTCCCTTTTACTAAAGCAGCTCATATCGTATCAATGTATGTTGGAAGCTTGCTCTAAACTCTATTTTTAAACTTATTAAATTACATAAATACTTTATGTATTTTAAATAATAATAATAAAAAAACGAAATCAAACTAATAACGAACTTTATTTAGAAAGGCTAAGTTCCGGTTAAGAACTAATTCAGAATTATTATTATATACATATATTTATACACAAACGATGACAGCTTTTCAATATTTTACACATGGATGTTTACTACTGCATTTCAAACGTTAATTTGCCCTAACGTTAGATGAAATTGATCATTTCGAGATTTCGATTCATCACCAACGCAATGTGACAAGCTTCGAGTAAAAATACAGTATTGGAGGTATAGAGAGAAATCTAAACAAAAATATGAAATCTAAAACAAACAAAAATAGTAGGTATAAATGTTATCACGCAGCTAAGAAGAGGAAGAATATGATCAATTCGAATCACAACAAATCTGGTTACTGATTGGAACCGGAAGCGTAGTAGCCAAGTCATTAATCACCCCACAATTTCATAATTCCTCAAATTTTGTTGAGAAACTAAAACACAATTACACAGAAGAAACGGATACTATTTCTAACGATGTGGGCCTAGTTTGTAGCAATCCCCCACTTTTGTTCCTAGGTTGATAGGTACAATGAGAAAAGGCAGAACACAACCGTCTCGTTGCGATTTAGAAAATTGTTTGAGTTATTTTTTATTCTAGTTTTCTTGATAGTAATTTTGGAACGATTTCTTTTATTATGTTGTCTTTACACACACCATCTTACGACGAGAAAAGCAGTAATTTGATGCATTGATGATATGCCCTAAATGATGAATTATTACGATTTTGGAAAATTGATTCTATATTGAAATTATTATACATTATAAAATGAAACGACCCTTCCTTTCAGTATATAAGAGAACGCAAGGAGAAAAATATATTAAATGCTATACAATAATACAGGTGTTGGCCGCTAATTTAGATGACAATCCTTCGCCCGACACTCTCTCACATAGTGTTCTTGATGCACGTCCACAGTTGTTATTTAAGAGTTTCCTATACCAACCAAAGCTGAATTTGAAATGTTGTGTGGCCCAGAGAAGTCATGAAAATTTCCAACCCAATAGATTTTCTCGACTGGACCGGGAATCGAACCTGCCGTCTCCAGCTTGGTAATACCGTGCCTTTACTGACTGGGCTCGAATGCATATGGTCCATAACTTGTTTAAAGATTTGTATCGATTGTGCATTAGCCGGCGCCGGTGGTGTAGTGGTAAGCGTGACTGCTTTCTCACCCCAATGGGTCTGGGTTCAATCCCAGCCGAGATCGGTGGGATTTTTCTGAGGGATAAAAATCTCTAGCCACGTCTTCCTTCGGAAAGGAAGTAAAGGCGTTGCTCCCGGTCCATTTGTGTTGAGTGGGTGAAAAAATTTGTAAATTTTGATGACGGTTTGGAGGTCACACCAATGATTTGAAAATTGTATGGGAATTACTATGAAAGAATTTAAAAAATCACTTATATCGCTCTAACTTTGCTTGTACTTGTACAAATGCTGAAAAATAATAATATGTTGTTGCTATCGCAATAATAAGCCTATTGTTGTTACGATCAGTTTTACAGCATATCAAGAAATATGGAAATGCGAAAAACTGACAATATAGGGCAAATTCACAGATCAATATGTGCACGATAACAACGTTAATTTCATAACAGCAACAACAGGCTTGTTGATCATTGTCATGGCAACCAAATATTAGTTTTTTTTTCAACGTTTGAACAACTACAACCAGGGTTAGAGCAATAGAAGTGAAAATCAATAATTTTCCATACAAAATTCAAATTATTGGCGCGACCTCTAAACGTTCATCAATGTTTACCATTTTTCGCACAGGCTCATATTTTGGAGTTATGAGTCGAACTGGACGGTGACCTATCAGAGATTATTTTTTTTTATTGAAACACCGTATTGTGCGTGCAGGGGTAGGAAGCGTCAAATAATCGCATCTCTCAAAAAATGTCAACGTAATTGGTGAACAGCTTCTAAACGAAATGATGCAGGGTTTGTTAGTAGTTAGTAAGTTAGTTAGATGATGATTATGTTGTAATGATAATTGCTTACAACATGTCAGGATAGTGTCACACACCATAAAGAATAAACGTTGTAATTAGAAACAAAACATTATTTCCATCGGAATCACCTTAAGCAAAACCAAAAAAAGTAAAGACTGGAACGCGCAAAAATTGGTCGATAATAAAATCGTTTCAGTCAAAATTCATATCACAAAAATCTTCTTATTTCTCTTTTGGTAGTTCAATTCATATATTCAAAAGAAAAAAAAATATGGTTTATTCTATTGGTTTGCCAAATCCGAACTGCCGTGCCTTCCGCTTAACCCCTTCTATTAAATTTTGCCCAGTGGTCTCATCGACCTTATTCGCCACCGAACGCCAGCTAGATTTAAACTGCTGCTCATTTTCCATGTTTTTATTAGTTTTTTTTTTTTTTAGATTCCGTTTGACCAAGGCCCAATACCGTTCGATAGGGCGGAGCTCTGGGCTATTGGGAGAGTTGTGGTCTTTGGGTATCACAACCACGTTGTTCGCATCGTACCACTCGATTGCCTTTTTCTCATAGTGGCAGCTCGCCAAGTCCGGTCAGAACAGCACATGTCTTTTATGTTGCTTTAGGAGTAGTAGCAACCACTTTTCCATGCACTCCTGGTCGTAGATCTCTTGATTGATGGTTCCCGTAGTAATTAAAATGCCGCTTTTTAGACCACACGTGCATATGGCCTGTCAGACGATATATTTTTCAGTTACTTCGATAGTTTGATGGTTTTGAAAATTTCAGTCACCTTCCCTTTTCCTGATGCGGTATAAAACTCCTGTCCCGGAAGCTGCTTGAAATCCGCCTTCACATAAGTGTCGTCGTCCATGACGACACAGTCGAACTTTGTTAGCAGATTCGTATACAGCTTTCGGGACCGCTGATTATCCGACGTGTTTTGTCTGTAATCTCGGTTCGCCACCTTCACCTTCTTAAACCTCACCTTAAACAACCCGGCTCGTTTCTTGGCCCGCTGCACAGTAGTATGGGAGACTTTGAGCTTGCCAGTGACGTCCCGGATGGAGAAGTTAGGATTCCGCTTATATTTCACCGCCAACTTCTTCGTCGTTGCTGCCACGTCCGGATTACGATTTCCGCCGCTTCCAGGCTTTCTGGCGGTCGACATACGCTTCCCGAACTCTTTTAAACGTTTATCGCGGTCGATTTGGCCACATCAAGCAATTTTGCCAAATTGGCGTGTGGGAACGTCGGATTTCTAGTCGGATTCTCTTGCTGCGCGAGCAAAATTTTGACACGCTGTTCCTCTTGCTTGGACGTCATTTTGAAAACTGGAGAGCATACGATGAAAACCCATCATAGCAACCATTGTATATACACTCAACTTCCAAATGCAGCATTTCAGGTTTTTTTTTTAATGCATTTTTAACAGAAATCCACCAATTTGAAGTTGACCCATTTTTGTGCGTTCCAGACTTTACCGCCCATGAAAAACGATTTATTAAAATCAATCCACCACACACCTGTTATACATTCTAATTAGCTACTACTTTGATGAAACCTTTTCAATCCCAATTGATTTACTAATCTAATGCGCCCTCCCTGTAGGTATTTTTTAACATGATGTATAAGCCCCTTATTGCAACGAGGGGCAAGCCGGGACCCATAAATTCGAAAAGTAGAGATAGAATCATGCCATGTGATCTTTTTGAACTGTTTCATTAGATAGTGTAGTATACATTTACAAAAAAAAATTATAATTTTCCGTTGCACTAACTTAGCGATGGGCCCAATCTTAGATCCATAGGCTAACATTAGAGCCTATTATTTTCCTTAAAAATGAAACTTGTTGTACTCGAATCGGTTTAAAATTGAAGGAGTAACAGGTATTTTCAAGAGAGCCTTAATTGTTTGGTTTTCAGACAACAAATCATCACAATCAGCTGACCCAGCAACGTTCAAATTGCTGTCGAAATCAAATCGAAATCTTATCCAAAAATCACGAAATTTGAACTTTGAATGCTTATGTAATATGAGGTGTTTTATTCAGGTCGGTCTGGTCTTATAATTCGTCAGAAAATTGTCCAGTCCGGAACTAGTTGACCGACTCCAGAAATAATCAATAGCATTCGGTAGGACCTAAATAACTTTGACGTTTGTTGTGATCAATTCGATGCAGTGGCTGCCAATAATCTGATCTTAATTTTTATTTGTCGAATTGGCCACAGACGGCGTCCAATTTACTGGTGGAACGAGGAACTTAGCACCCTCCGCGCTAGTTGTCTCTGAGCCAGAAGACGTGTTCAGAGAGCAAGAACAGAAGCAGACAGAGAGCAACGAAGAGGAGTGTTTCGAGCGGCCAGGGCCGAACTTAAGGGGGTATTCCCGATCTTTTTTTTTTCAAAAAAAACAAATTTTTTTTTTCACGTTTTTTGTACTTTAGACTATATATTTTCATCCCCCAAGCCGTTTTCCAATCAGCGAATTCGGTGTCCAGTTTTTCGCGCCTTGAAATAAAAAATGCAGCGCCCGAAAAACGGCTCTCCGCGCGCAACTTTGCGGTCGGGACTGACACTGCTCTGCAGGTATTCCAGACTTACCAATACATTTAGGTGCATGTACGGGCAATAGAGTCAAACGCGTTTTTCTCGAAACCACATTTTTTTTTATCGGGCGAAGATTTTTCTCAGAAACTATAAGAGATATTGACTTGAATCTTTGCGCATTTTGTTCCTTATTAAATTCACTTTCGGACCACTTTTAGCCAAAAATATTAACATTTAACATTGTTTGAAGCACCTTAAAGCTGCAAAAAAGCGGGCTAAAAATTTTCATATGGCCGCCATTTTGTTAATTTGCAAGATTTTTTGCTGCCAACGGGAGAAGCTCCAGAGAATCTTATGCAGATTATTAATTTTATCACGAAATCTGTTTCAGATGAAGCCCGTCCAGGCGTTTGCGGCGAACAGGGGTCTGTTTGCCGCCATTTTGTGACGTCAATAATGTATTTTTTATGTCGAAAAAATTTTATTTGTAAACTTTAATGTTCAATAGACAAGAATCCCAAAGAGTTAGGCGCATTACTATTCATTTTCCTTGAAAAAAAAAATAATTGAAAAACAGGCCGAAAAAAGGTAAAAGATTGGGAATACCCCCTTAAGGGGGGAGTACACTTTGATTTTTCAAAAAAATGTATTTTTTTTGGCTTAAAATGTTCCTTGGGATGTATACTTTAATTAAGAAAAGACTCCAAGTCCGCCAGAGTATTCCTTACCGCTTTACGAAGCGATTTCCTAAAACATGTACCGGCGCGCTGAGAGAGCAATTTTATCTTTAAACGCGTTTATCTCGAAACAGGGTTTTACGTATCTACATTTTCGATTTTGTCAAAAATGGATTTTTAATCCACGATTTTGTAAGCATTTTTAGGGTGAAAAAATGGACTTTTTTTTCCTAAGGCCACAACTTTTGAAAAAATTAATTTAAAAAAAATCGGAATACGTATTTCTAACCCAAATTTCATTACTAATCAGGATTTTTGTTCGATTTATGTTCCAGGATCACAGGGAAAGGAGTATTTTCCCACGCCGTTTTCCGACTTCCGCGCCAATCGAGTTCAAAAAAATACAAATTGTAGTTCGAAGGATGACTAATAAATGGGTTATAACATATTTGCCCTCCCTGAGCGGGGGAGAAGTAGCTCATCGATTCTTCCGGTTCGCCTCCTAGCATCGTGCTATAAGGTACCAGGCGATAACCAGGGTAGTTGATCGATAGCTCGATGACGTCATTTCGTTGGCGTCTGCAATGGGAAATTCTCGTAGCAGGCGTTGACGATGGGACGATGGGACGTTGTCGAGTTGTTGAATAGCAACTATCGTGGTAACTCACCGATTACCTGTCGATCTGCCAAATTTGGAAAGACGTCTGCATTGAGTTGTCTCATATAATAATATTCCGCCCACTATATCACAAGAAATTGCGAGTAGCTGAGTGGAATGGAGATAAGTTAAGCATTGGGTACAGGACCAAGTCTCCCCTGGGTGGTGCCAGAAGATGAGCGCAATAGAATCATCAAGTTGCCATAAGGCACGGAATGAGACTATTGCATTGCTGGGTAGTCAAAGTCTTCCATTCGTTAGTCATTTCAGGTGGATTAGAACAGGTTTAGGTTTAGGGTGAGCGTTGGCCAGAGTTGGGTTTTTCAGTGGTAATCCTGGATAGGATCCTGTCATTGAACGTCGCGTGAAAGTGGAACTTAATGAAGGCCTAAGTACTTTTTCGTAGTTTTTAGTTTTCGGATTTGAAAGATCGTCGGTTACAGTGGCCTGCTTACAGAGCAGAAAAACGCGGTCCCAGGTCCTTACATATCAAATAGATTTATGGTAAAATCGCTTGTGTATCGTGTATTTTGCGAAACTCGTTGTTGTCGTTGGTTCAGGGTTTGAATGGATACAAAAATTTGAGCAACGGTATTATGTGATATGAGGGGCTCGGTGGCCTTAGAGTAACCGTTTTTGCTTACTAAGCAGAACATCATGAGTCTAATCTTAAGCCCTTCCACATTCAAGATTCGTCAATCGTTTTATTTATTAATATGACTACATGGTAATAACAGCAACTAGGTGATTAAAAAGGTGCTCGTCTACCTAGTGGCAAACGTTTTTGCTTACTGAGCAGAAGACCGTGGGTTCAATCCCAAGCTCCTTCGCGTTATATGATCGTTAGAACATCAATTCAGCTTATCGTTTACCAAAACGAACCCTGCTGCAAACCCAACCCTCTTCTCCAACATCCCAGTGATTCCTCAGGGAAGTGCAGAGGTGTTCTTGGCTTCAACCAAAGCGAGTGTCATGTCAACACAATCCTTCCCATTCCTTTCTTGACCTGTGTTCGGGCGCGGTCGGTGCTGGTATTGCCTAATTTAAGATCACCAGTTTTTACACATTGAGGATGATTGCTAGTCCCAAGCATCGTCTATTGGTTCTCTGTGTAATTACAGCTGATCTGGCAATAACAGAGTTGAAAGTGGCGATCCAAGCGTCCTCGGACATGTTCAGGAATGTGCTACAGAAATGCCTGGACGAGGATTACTTCCCTGACAGGTGGAAGATACAGAAGCTAATGTTGTTGCTGAAACCATGAAAACCACCGGGGGATCCAGCATCGTATAGGCCTGCTGGATACACTCGGAAAACTCTTGGATAGGATCATCCTAAACAGGCTGACGAAATGCACGGAGAGTGAGCACAGATTGTCGGAGAGGCAATTCGTATTCCGGAAGGGGAGATCGCCGGTGGATGCAATTCGGACAGTGGTCAAGAGAGCCGAGAGGAGATCGATATTGCGCCGTGATAACGATCGACGTCAAGAATGCGTTCAACGTCGTCTTGACGGTAACAGGCGAGACGCTGGAAGAGGTGAAAGTGTTGTCAACCGAGGCGATCGACATGATTGGTAACTGGATGCAAGGAGCGAAGCTGCAGATAGCCCACCACAAAACGGAAGTGTTATTGGTCAGAACTTCAACAGCCACGTCGAATAGGCCATCAACGCGATAGCTAGAATCATGCCGAACAACGCTGGTCCCAGCAGTAGCAAGAGAACAACAGGAGTGAACACGGCGGAGAACGGTAGATGGACACATCGACTAATACCGATCTTTTCGACCTGGGTGAACAGAAAACACGGAGAAGTCAACTTCCACCTAACGCAGTTCCTGTCTGGCCACGGCTGCTTCAGGAAATACCTGTATCGGTTCGGACATGCAGCGTCACCCCTCTGTTCGGAGTGTGACAACGTCGATGAAACGCCGGAGCATGTGGTCTCCGACTATCCAAGGTTCGAGACAGTACGAAGGGAGATGCCCGTCCTTAACGTGGAGAATGTCGTCGATGAAATGTGTCGAGAAAAGGGTACTTGGAATGCCGTCAACAGAGCAGTCATGCAGATTATCACGCCTATTCTGTATTTCGTTTCGAACGAAATTCTCATACAAAAAAATATTTTTTTGTATGAGAATTTCGTTCGAAACGAAATACAGAATAGGGGTGTATATCGGAGATGCAGCGTAAATGGAGAGAAGATCAGCGATCTAGCAAAGCCAGCTAGCGCTGAGAGTATCAGAAGTGCATGAGCTTAGCCACCACCCGAAGTAGTCGCTTCACAACCTGCGAGATTTCGACCACTGAATACGCTCTCTGTCTCTAGAACTAGTGGCTTAAGCGCCATCTCTGAAGAGTCCTCGTCAAGTTTTGATTTACCCGGCAAGACACCCAACCTCAGGGCGGGTTTATGACTCACAAAGCATCACGATTACGAAGAGTATTTAAATCACAAAATGTGACGCAAATTTGATAACAGCTTTTCGTCTAGATATAAATCTACTGTATTTTACGTACATATAGGAACCTCAAACTCTTTTCTATCAGTTGTCTAGTTGAGTTGTTAACAAATGAGCAATTTGTGCGAACAATTTAGCCTTAAGCCTGGCCTTAAGGATTGATCATGATGTATAAATATTTACCGTATATGATCAGTTAGGTATTCGTGATCACAGTTCATACATGCTTGATCATTATGAATAAATCGTTGAAACAAGAGATAAATGACCATAACGACCATGTCATTTACAACAATAGAAAAAAGTACAGCTTTTTCCAAACAAACCACATAGGTTCGCTAATACACAGAAAAGTACTAATTACCTGCAATAACTTTGAAATCATACTGTGCTGTCAGCACATGGTGGATAATTATGGTGCTTCATGATTAGCGTTCCGGGTTTCTGTTTTCGAGCATTAAGGAACAAATCGTAAGGTGATTCAAACGATTCGCCTTAGTCGAACTCTAACCAGCAACATGGCAGTCAGCAAGCCCAATTCCCTTGTTCCTTCGTACTTGAACGAACCACTGATCCGCGAGGCTCTCGAATGTGGTCTTGAATATCCCAAACGTACCGAAGTGAATATCGATCAGTTTATAATTAGAACGGCCACCACCGCTGGCGATAACTATCTAAGCGACGTGTTTAGGGTTTGGGTTCGATTCAACCGAGGTAAGGCGGGTCAGAGTCAGCAGGAGATTTCACTGATAGTGAAATGCATGCCCGACACCGGATTCAGAGGACCCGTAATTGGAATGCTAAATGCGTACGAGAAAGAGGTTTATATGGTTCGGAGCGTAGCTCCGGCATTATCCGGGTTGGTGAAAGGAGAGAACTTTGCGGCCAGGTATGGAATGATAAAATCTTATTATCCAAGGGTCTTTAGGCCGAAACCATAAGCGATCGATCCTAAATCAGACCAAGTTCAGGAGTGACCAGTTCGACAGTCGATCCAGTCTTTTTCACTAGCATAATTATTGGGGTCATTCACGTTGGGGCTCGGAATGTTACGGGTTGAAACATTTTTCTCGACTTCCCTGATTGGGCATGCCACACTAATGTAAAAATGGTACAGGTTTAGAAAGCTCTCACTTAACAACAGTGGAAGTGCTCAAAGAACACTAAGTTGAGAGCCGGCGAAAAGTCCCAGTGGGGACGTAATGAAAGCTAAAGCTGCCAAAAAAAAATAACCTATCTCTACATTCCAGAATGTTCTACGCCACCACGGATCCAATACGGTTGATCATTTTCCAAGATCTGAATGCTCTTGGCTTCACCATGGCTGATCGAACCAAAGGAGGGCTTGATTACAATCACTGCCGCATAATAATGCGCAAGATTGCCAAATTTCATGCAGCTTCGATGATACTGGCTCGCAGCAGTAGCTCCAAGGCCAAAGAGCTAGCTGAACAGTTGGAATATGGCTTCATGAATCCGCACGTTGCCCTGGAAGACAATACAGTGCTGGACATTTTTGCCAGTGGTTTGAATGCACTCATAGATTGTGCCGAGAAGTATTGGACAGATTTCAACCCCAATATTATAGCTAAACTGAAGACAATGATGCCGCACTATAAGCACCGCGTCCAATCTTGTCTGAATCAAAAGTTTTCCGACGGCTACAAAGTAGTCAATCATGGTGACTTGTGGATCAATAATATACTGTTTCAGTATGATACTAACAGCAACCCAAAGGACGTCATGTTCGTTGATTACCAACTGAGCTCCTACACGAGCCCAGGAGTGGATCTGAACTATTCGCTAGTCAATTGTCCCACTTTTGACGTCAGAGAGAACAGAATAGATGCATTGATAAGCGAATACCACACAACTCTCAAATCAGCGTTAGAAGCATCCGGTTACGCAAGGGTACCTACCCTGATGGATGTTAAGAACGAAATCAAAAGAATGAGCTATTTTGGTAGAATATGTACAACTTTGAAGTCGTATCGTAAAACTAACTCTAAAACTCTTCATAGGCTTCGTAGCTGCAGTATCTATACTTCCGATAGTGATGATGGACAACAAAACGGGTGTGGACGTTAGCTTTGACGCCATGGTAGACGAGCACAAAGCGGAACAGTTGCGCCTTCTGCAGTACAACGGCGATCGATACCGAAAGTCTATAACCAAACTACTGGAACGATTTGACCGGGAGGGACTGCTGGACTAATAGCTCTGTTGCATTGTGAATGACTTTCAGTTTTTTTTTTATCTCATTTGTTTCGCTGTGGACCTACCATAACTCAAAACACACGTAATCTTCTCCTAGCATAGATGACAGGTGCGGAGTGCAAAGTCATCACTGATAACTACCGTTTAATTATTATGAATTCAATTGTAATAGCACATAGCGACACACCTTCTTACAGCACAGCACAATAAAAAGTGGTCTTGAACACCAAAGTTTGAGTAAATAAAAACCTGCGACAAGAGGAGTTGTTGTTGGAAATAATGTTTTTTGGGGGTTAAACAGTATACTATAAGTTATAATTTTAAACTAATAATTGATCCCTTTAGTGAAGTTCCCTAAAATTAAACGAAGTTCCCTTAACTCTTTCCCGTTATCGTTATCGTTACTCTGGAGCACCATACTCATTTGACATTGTGAGCTATAACTTTCTGAAATTGCAACTGATTTTTGTAAAAATATTGTGACATAGTCTGTACTAGTTCTTCTATAATCGGAAGAAAATCCAGGTCAATACTCAATACCATCCAAAGGTAGTTATTTTGACGTAGGACTACGTCTGTGATTTCTATATGGGGGTACACTTTGTGAAAACCGAAAATGGAAGATGTAACAAAATTATGAAAGATTTTGAACGCTAATAACTCAGTTGCCCTTGGACCAATTTCAATAATTTTATCACCGATCGATCAGAAATATTTCTACGCATTTGATAAAATTGAGACTACATCATTGTTTCAAAATGTCACTACTGAAAAAAAAAATTCCTGAACTTTCAACAAAATTCTCAGCAAACAATTTGAGCTGCATTCAATCCAAGTGTTTGTTACTTCATTCGTGAAAGTTTCAATAGAGAGTTGGGAGAAAATGTTTTTTTTTTGTAGTGATTACAGTGCACAGTGGGCCAGGAATTAAATCTAGCAGGAAAAAATAATTACGCTCTGGGATCGCATCCAATTGAGTTGACGTCTTCAGTGAAGTTTCTTGGAATTATTAGGACTACCATTTAGCGGATATAAATAGTTCATATTTTGGCCACAAAGATGGTGCAGCGATAAAAACATTTTAATTTCACAAGATAGAGGTTTGCTCTCTTGAGCAAAGTAGTAGAACTTAAAATTTTGAGAAAAGTTGCCGAAGACATAAATGCTATACATCTTCAAACAACTGAAATATACGAACGGTTGCTACTCTGTTATTGCCAGATCAGCTGTAATTACACAGAGAACCAATAGACGATCCTTGGGACTAGCAATCATCCTCAATGTGTAAAAACTGGTGATCTCTAACTAGGCGCCGGCCGCACCCGAGCACAGGTCAAGAAAGGAATGGGTAGGAATATGTTGACGTGACACTCGCTTTGATGGACCAGGCTTCCAGTGCGCGTATCGTCGCTTGTGAGACGCACGAACAATAATCTCGCATTCATGGTCGAGTCGTGCACATGAGATGTATTTTTCTCTATATCACGATCATCCAATACGTCGCATCTCACATGCTCATAAAAGTTGTGCGACACACGACTTGGCAGCACAATACATTTCCTAAAGGGTGTGTTTCATGGTACTTAATCGCATGCGACGTCTCATGAGACGAAGCTCATGAGATTAGCTCACAAGATCTTTTCATGTACGGAGTTGTGCGTTGTGCTTTTAGATTTACATGCGAGAACACTTTTTACTTGAGTATGCTGATGGCATTAACATTTCTGATGCGATATTTCCTATCTGCTACATGATACGATATTTGATACATGCTCGCGAACTTTTTATATTTACAATACATACAACTAAATAGTGGGTCATGTTTGTGTCCCGGTATAATGTTATTTCGATTTATTTTGAGGTCCTCAATGAATGTGCCTAATTTTATGGATTCATGGAAAAGTACATGAGAATCGGAATGAAAATATACTTTTTTTTATCAACAACTTAAACATCACAATAAGTTGCACGCAGTTGAGATAGGTATATATTGGGAAAACCACGTAAACAAAAACTTTTTTTTTCGACTTTTAAACAAAAGGTTATCATTCATTAAATAAGCAATATCTTCTTCTTTTTGGCTTTAGCATCCCAATCTCAATTGAAGTTACGACATCTTTAACCGCTTCCCCCATTTTTTAGTAGAGAGCTTTCTATACCTGGTAGGGTAGAACAGGGAATAAATGCACCCCGGGAAAAGCAGCCGATTTGGTTTTTAAAAGCTATTCCACTCTTAATTATAGGATTGTTGTGCCAAAATACTAGTTTAAGTACAAAACTAGCACTGTGGCTTGTCAAATTTATAAACTTAAAACGGGAATGCTATGAAAAATTGAATCGCGCATTTTGCCCCGGGTGCATTTTGGACTGTGTATGCCTACCATTTTTGCATGCGTATATTGTGTCGTGTGACAGATATATGATATGATGATACCCTATCTGGAGTGTCGGGAAATTTTCCAACCCCGAAAAAATCCTTACAAAATTGATCATAGTTGGCCACATAATTTGAGTTGTCAGATTGCAGTTTGTCGAAATGGAAGTGGAAAAGAAGTGTACTAATTGTTTTAAAAGTTTTTTTGTTAATTTTGCAACGCTATCTAAAAATTATACCAACGACCAGTAGAACGAGAAATGAAAGTTCAGTTTAAAATAGGATAAGAGTAAGTTACAGTCGTTTCCCAAACTAATGTTAAATTTTCAGCTTTAGTGATTTTACATAGCGACAAGCGACATTTGAAGATTCCCGTTTTCCAAGGCTACAAATATTGCATTAGCTGCCCATAAACTGCGAAGACTGCTTTTTTAGCTGTTCTAAACCATCCCTTCCCCCGCGTAGGCAGTTCTTTTTCGATACCCTCTCTATAGTTTTTAGTTTATTAATACACTCAAAAAATTTATCACATATCTAATGGATGAAATCCATGTGATTTTCACATAACTTTCCTATGATCACATAATAGCAAACCCTCCCACAAAATCACATGAATATTATGAGGTCCATGAAATTCATATGAAAAATCATATAACATTAATGTGATCGCTTAAATGTTATGTGAAATTCAGATGAATTCCATTAATTTTGATTATGGATGAAAATCATGTGCGTTTCCAATGGAAGCTACATGAAAACTATTTTCGGTGTAGGCCCATACCGTAATCCGGTAAACAAGTCTTTACCCGTGAGACTAGTTTACAAAAAAAGCACTCATTATTTTTATCGAAAATTTTCAGCGAATACCATGTATCTGTAGCCACTTAAGCAGTATTACACGCTCGTCATTGTGTCCGTTGTGTAGATTAAATTTCCTAGGAGTAAAGAACCTATCATCATCGCAGTAAAAAAATACGAGTAGAGTGGTGGAAGAGCAACCGAAAACAACGAAAAATTCATTGAAGAACTTTTTTCTAACGTAACTGCTTTGGGTAATAGGTAAACGATGTGCAATACATGACGTGATTCGAGTAAGTATCAATAAGTTCTTGAATAACAAATTTACTGTTTTCATTAGTTTTGCAGCAACCAAGTAACTGAATTTGTTTCTGACTGCTTTCTAGTACAGGGATCTCCCAAACAGCGCGGTGGATTGCGTTGTTCCCCCAGTCAATCGAGTACATTTTATTGTTTGTGATTAGTTTCAATCATGCTGATACTAGTATCCTACAAAAATCCGCTCACTATGTTGGATGACAGCCGAGACATTGCGGTGGGTGGCCTGCACTACTCACCACGCTATTCAGGGGATTTAATAGATAGGGTTAGGGAACTATTCTCAGACCATGTCCCTGAGTTATATTGTCAGAGAGTACCAATGAATGAGAAACATCCACGATAGCAACAATTCTTCAAATGCAGTACTGCCAACAGGATAACACCACCATGATGCCACCATGGATTGGATTGCAAGAAAGAATTTATAAAAAAATTATAAGTTAGTCATATGATTAGCACAAAAGAGCTCAAGGTTATTCGTCACGAAGGGTCACTGTGATCAGCCGGTATTCGAAGAGCCACTTTACTGCCGTTATACGCATAAGAGTCACACGGTACATAAAGATTGTATAGAACATGGGACAGTTATGCGTATCAGGTAACATACAATTACATATATTTGATTCAACGTAGAGAGTCCTAATAGTTGGGCCTATTCTGCGCGGCGTGTGAGGTGAGGTGACAGTGAAGTGATGGTGAAGTGACAATTGTCACCTCGGGTGAGGTGACTCTCCATTTGATTTTCACGGAGAGTCACCTCACTCGAGGTGACATTTGTCACTTCACAAGTGACAACGTGTCACCTCACCTCACACGCCGCGCAGAATAGGCCAAAGTAATCCCTAAATACTTAAGAATCAGAGTGACAAGCCTGCAAACTATGTATCAATGCTGTGACACAACACGACTGTTCCTTTTTCCGAGACGCGAGTTTGTTCACAGCATCAACTATCAGTTTGCAGGTTTGGTACTCTGATATAAATGTGAGTTCGATAAAATGGATCACTGCAAAGAGCCAATGGCCTCTTCTACCTTGCTTAAACAGGGATCTCTAAACCAAATGACGTAATAAAAGTGACGGAGAGTTGCATCGCTCTCTATTTCATAACTGTTTAAAAATTAGTTTGGCAAAAAGGGAAACTGAGTAGAATTTTTAAAATCAAACCTCTGCATGCAATCGGTTTTGCTCATCATCTTGAATCTCATATCTTTGTAACTGTTTAAGCCAGTGGAAGGTATTTGGGTTATTTTGAATTATCGTGTAGTTTATACGCAGAATGGAATAAAAATATACAGGAGGGTGACGTTGGTGGTGTATTTTATTTTTATTGGAAATGAAGCACATATTTAACGCATGGGGCGTTAATTTTAGATCAATTATCAATATCCCAAACAGCTATCAAAACTCAGTCATATACATGTATTTATTTTGCCTCTCTGATTCCTGATAAGGCTTAAATATTAAAAAAATAAACATTTTATTTGAAGTATAACATTCAGATCACGACTCTCATTCAAAGATACGTTTCTTTTTAAGTTTTACTAAAATCAACCTTCTTTAAAAGGTTAGAGTTAAGGCGAATGAATAGAATATTGTTCAGTGTCTCCTCCTTCAATTGAGCTCTAAACTTAGTTAGCACAATCGGTAGAGCACTGAAAGTGCGTTCAACGCTAACTTGCGTGCACGG